CGGGTCTGCTGGGATGGCCAGCATAATAAAGTACCACTTCCTATAATAGTCTCGGTGTCACAATCTCTCTATTTTTCCTGCTACATATGTGTGTAATTTTGATCAATAAAATACTTGTTTTCAGTTTTAGTTGCCAAATTAAGTCTTAATTCACTTAATGAATAATTTAATAAGTTAATGAATAACTGAATTGTATTCCAGTCTAAACATAGACTACAGTTAACACTTCTACTCAACACATGATAAACAATTCTCATACATTAACAGAGAAAAAGAAATGATTATTTCCAAGAATAAATGGTGTTTAATGCTCAGTGATTTATCACAGAAACAAAGATCTGAGTATCGGATGTATTCACTCATAAGCGGACCCTGAACATTTACCATAATACTATAAGAAAGGGATTGGCAGTAGTGGGACACTGCCGGTGGGGGGCACATATCATTAAGGGTACCCAAACTTTACCTGCATGATGATCACTTATGTATTTAACCTTGAATTGTACCCCATATCTTTAAAATAAGAATAATATTTTTTAAAAATGATGTTTAAAACTGCTCTTGTTTCCTTCAGTCAGGTTGAAATTGACTGTATTCTATACTGAAAAAGTAGCAGTTTAACAAAAAAAGAAAAACAAATCTACTTTTTTCTTTTTTTTTTTTTTTGAGTTGGAGTCTCATTCCGTTGCCCAGACTGGAGTGCAGTGGACACTCCCTGCCACCGCAGCCTCGGTCTGCTGGACTCCGGCGATCCTTCCGCCTCAGCCTTCCGAGTAGCCGGAATTACAGGCATGTGCTACCACGCCCGGCTGATTTTTTGATTTATTGTAGAGATGAGGTCTCGCTGCCCAGGCGGGTCTCGAACCCGCGGGCTCAGGCAATCTGCTCACCTCAGCCTCCCAAAGGCGCAGGATTACAGGCTGAGCCACGGAGCCCGGCTGTGCTATTATTTTTTGAGTTGGGCTCTCATTCTGGAATGCAGTGGCATGATCACAGTTCACCACAGCCTCGATTTCCTGGGCTCAGGTGATTATTCTGCTTCAGCTTTGCCGAGTAGCCGGGACTACAGGTATGCCACCACACCCAGCTAAATTTTTTTTTTTGGTATAGATGGTATCTCCCTACATTGCCGAGGTCTTGAACTCCTGAGCTCAAGTAATCCTTCTACCACAGTCTCCCAAAGTGCTGAGATTACATGCATGAGACACTGTGCCCAGTAGTTTGTATTATTAAAATAATGAAATAATTCCTCTTATTAAAATAATGAAAGAACAGTTGGACATAAAATATGACCTACATACCAGCGATAAGTGATTAGAATATACAAGGGGGATTCCAAAAAACCCAAAATTTATTTGTAGAAAATTGTAGTATTTATTCTTACATGCTTAAACTTCAGTCACCTTCAAAGTCCTCTCTGTTTGATCTAATACAGCTAGTGAGATGCTTTTTCCACTGCTCAGAACAGTTTTTGAACTCATCAATTTTGATGCCTCTTAGAGCTCTGCCACTTTTTGTTTGACCTCTTCCACATTGGCAAAACGTTTCCCTTTGAGGACTTTTTTCATCCAAGGAAACAAAAATCAGTCACTTGGGCTGAGATCAGGTGAATACGAGGGGTGGGGTATGGGGGTGATGTCAATTTTCGTTAAAAACTGCTGAACACTTAGCATGGTGTAGGCAGGTGTGCTTGTAAATCGCCCAACATGAATGGGAAAAAACAATTTACTGAAGCTGAGTGCAACCTCTCACAACACTAGCTGGTGTATTGATGCTGATGGGTTCCTAGAACAATGACCTCATGGGGCAAGCCTGTACTATAAAAAATAATACTGTGAAGGAAGAGACCAGAAGATAATTTACAGATATAATCACAAAACCAGAAGTCAAAACAATGTGTCAAAAGAAATTTTTAATAGTTTGTGTTATTATTTTTTGAGTTGGGATCTCATTCTGGAATGCAGTGGCACGATCACAGTTCACCACAACCTCAACTTTCTATTTTTTTGGGGGGGTCTTCTTTGCACTTAGGAAGTAGTTTAGTTAGAGATATTTATGACTTAAAATTTTACCGAAAAAACCCCAATAAACTTCACAAATAAATAAGAGAACGCCATGTTCCCAAAGGAGAAGAGTAAATATTATGATATCAGTTTAAAAAAAATTTATTAATAGACTTTGTATAATCCCAATTGAAACATCCAAGTAGCATTTCTTTTCTTGTAACTTAAAAATAAGTGTGTAAAATTTGGTTGGAAAACTACCAGGTGAAATCAAAGAATTTTGTGAAAAGTGAAATACAATGAAGTGGTTAGTCCAATGGACAAATATTAAGACATATTAAAAGCAACAAGAATTAAAATAACATGGGACTGGCCTCAGAATAGACATGCATTTTAATAGGAAGGAACATAATACTCAGAAATACTGTATTTCTTATAAGAACTTAATAAAAAAGTAAAAAAAGGTAAGAATTACATAGAAGATTTTGTGGGATAACAGAATACCAATGTTGATAACAAATCATGATAGATTGTTGAAGTGATGTCTTTCACAGAATCATGCCTCCCTGTATTGTTACTCTTGTATTCTTGGGCTTGGACACATCACAAGGTTTTGGGTGATTTGTTTTTGCAGCAACAGACACCTCACACAATATCTTACAGTACATACAGTAGTCCCTATGAACTGTGGTTACTCTTTCCATGGTTTCAGTTAATAGCCAACCGTGGTCTGGAAATAGGAGAGTACAATAAGATATTTTCTCTCTCTCTCTCTCTCTCTCTCACACACACACACACACACACACACACACACACACACACACATACACAAACACACACACACACACACACACACACACACACACCACAGTCACATAACTTTTATTACCGTATATTGTTAGAATTTTTTCTATTTTATTAGTTGTTGTGAGTCTCTTACTGTGCTTAATTTATAAATTAAACTTTATCACAGGTATGTTTGTATAGGAAGAAACATACTACACATAGAGTTCAGGACTATCTGTGATTTTAGGCATCCCTCGGGGGGTCTTGAAATATATTTCTGTACCAAAGTATATTTCAGATAGTTGTAGAGTTAAACATAAAATTAGCAAAAAATAAATTAAATATTAGAAATGTGCTGCCCTCATATGATTACATGGCCTGCTCTTTCTTGACATTCAGGGCTCAGATTAAACGCTACCTCTACGAGGGATTTTCTTTGACTACCCCACTGAAATAAGGTTTTCTTCCTCCTTCTGTTTCTATCGTTCTTACTTCATTATCACTATATGAATTTATTGTATTCATTTTTCTTGTTTGCTTTTCTTACTGGAATGTAATTTCATGAGAGCAAGACCCTCCTAAGTATCCCTTGCTGTGATATTCTGGTATATTATCAGCATCCAATAGAAATTTGCTCATAATTAATGCATGAAAGACATTCTGGTAGTGTATTAACTTTATAGGAGTCACATAAGAGAAAATCTAAATTTGACTACTTAGTGTTAAATCTCACAAGTTTTGCAATAGCAAAAGAAACACATAAAAGGAAAAGAAAGATGAGAAGGGGAAAAGTAACAGCATAAAATAGGGTGAAGATTAATGTCATTTCTTTATAAAGATCATTCATATTCACACATAAAACAAAAATATATGTACAGAAAATTTACATCAGAGGACATACAGGTAGTTTAAAAACGAAAAACATCAGCTCTTCATAGTAGTCAAAGAACTACAAGAATAACAACCTTGAGGTAACATTTTAGACCAAGGAATTTGAAGAAGCAAAAGGCATAATTTGATGTTAGGTTGTGTATTCTGATAGCCCTGTAAGTTTGTTCGCTTTGGAAAGCAACAGCATCAACAGCTATTGAAATATTTTTGAATCTTTTGACCCAAGAGTTCCATCTCAGAAAAATCGTCCAAAGAAAATAATTTGGCCGGGCTCAGCCTGTCATCCCAGCACTTTGGGAGGCCGAGGCGAGTGGATTCCCTGAGCCCGCGGGTTCGAGACCAGCCCGGGCAACTTGGCAAGACCTCGTCTCTGCAATAAATCAAAAAATTAGCTGGGCGTGGATGCGCGCGCCTGTAGTCCGGGCTGCTTGGAAGCCTGAGGCGGAAGGATCGCCAGAGCCCCGCAGGTCAGAACTGGGGGGGCCATGAGCCTGTCACTGCACTCCAGCCTGGCCCACGGAGTGAGACTCCCACTCAAAATAAATAAATAAATAAAATTAACAGATGTTAAAAGGCAAAGGCACAAAGCAAATATTTAAAACTCTGCGTTGTCCCATGGCGGGACCATTTCCTTGGCCCCAGCCATCGGCCCAGCCATCCACAATGGCTGGAATTTCATGGTACCATTAAGTGCCAAAATTTGAGAATTATAAAGCAGCATGGAAACTATTATGTCGTAATAGATGAAAGGCAGAATTTAAAATGGAATGACCATTATAAAGAGCATGGTGGAACACATGTTACATGGATCTTTGTCTCTCTGAGACAGGTTTTTAGCTCCGAGCACCCCAAAGATACTGAAGAAACACAATTGAACCAAGTTGCCTATATTCATCCTTTTATTATGTCACAGACGCCAAGGCTCTGAGTGGCAGCACCCACCCATATTCCCACTGGAAGCTTATCCAATTGATTATCTTTTCTTCCCACCATACCCGGCACTACGCCAAGCAAACAAGGACATGAAAAAGGGAAGAAGCTTTTTAAACTTTATGGGATGACAGCTTTTTCCCCCCCCCCTCACCTTTCCATTTTTCCTTTTTAAATGTTAGACCTGTTTTACAACACAAAAACTAAAAATGCACGGAAAGACAAAGGGTCAAGCACACCGCACCGGGGTCGCCCCAGCTACGTGGAAACTCCAGGCGGGACGGAGCGCGGTCTACGGGCGAGGGGCGAGGGGGCGGAGTCGAGCCGGCGCGACGGCGTCGCAAAGAGCGAAGCACACCCGGCCCGGCCGCGCTGCTTGACGGCACTCGCCCCGCCCCTCCAGGTGCGGGAAGTCTGAAGCCGGCAAACATGGCCGCCGCCCGCCGCTTCGACCGGGCTGCGGCTGCACCGGCGGCCTTGTTGCTCTTGTCCTTCGGCGGCTTGGCCGCTGCTGGCGTCGAGGTAGGAGCCAGGCTCTTTTGACCACAGGGCCGCGGGAGGCCGCTGTGCCGGGGCGGCGAGCGCCCGGCGGACGTCAGCTGCTCGCAGCTGGGGGAAGCCCGGAGGCAGTCAGGCCCTGGAGGCTGGGCCGCGGGGAGGGGGTCCCCGGGCCCCGGGTCGGGCAGCGGGGATCTGCTTCGGCTTTCGACGTGATACACGGAAAGATCCCGGTCCTGGGAGACAGAGGAGGCCCGGAGCCTTTGCGCCTACGTGTGTGCGGGTGTCGCGGGGGACCTACGGGCGAGAGGCTGGCGACATTCCTGGTCGGGAGTTCCTGCCGCCGACCTGCAGCCCTCGCCTTTGGTAGAGTCCGATGGCCACGGTGTTCCATCCTGGGCTGCCCCTGTCCGCCCCCCCTTTTTGGCGGCCACAGGACGTTCTGGCACTCTCTAAGACTTGTACTATCCTCTGTGCTCTGAGGATTTCTCAGTCCAGTTCCACAGCCTCAATGTCTAGCATCATTTTCAGGCCTGCATAGGCAGCTGGCTAAGGGCCGGGGATAGCAGCCTGGGCAACTTGGGGAGGTCTCATCTTTACAATACAGTAAAAAATTAGCCGGGCGTGGTGGCGCATGCCTGTAGTCCCAGCTACCTGGAAGGCTGAGGCGAAAGGATCACCTGAGCCCAGCAGGTCGAGGCTGCGGTGACCGTGAGCATGCCACTGCACTCCAGCGTGGGCGACGGAGTGAGACTCCGACACAAACAAACAAACAAACAAACGTGTCCAAAGTTTCCTCTTCTGCTTATTCCACCTCCTTTTAAAAACACCCTGAAAGACCAAGCACCCCTTTTCTCCTGCATTTCTTAACCTAGAAATGCCCCTAAGCTAGAAATTGAGGAGTTGTCATAAACACCTCTCTTTATCCCACTTACTAATTGTCACTGAATTCTGTGATTGGAATTCTTAAAATTGCTTTCACCTTTCCAGTTTCACTGGCTTAGATCAGGCCGTGATCATTTCTTGCCTGGACTCTTTCAATTACTTTATCTTGCTTCCCCTTGGCTTCCACACTCCCTTGATGCTAGGTAGGCGTCATACAATGTAAGCCTGATCAGGTTATTCTTCTGGTTAAATCTTTTAAATGTTTCTCCATTGCATAAAGAATAAGGTCTAAGTGTTATGATCTGGTCCTTGCCTACTTTTTCAGTCTTCCATACTGGAAGCCTCTTCTTCCCACTGCCTCCAAAGCCTTGACCTTGCTACTGACACACAAAAAAATACCAAGCATGGACTTTGTATATATCCATGAGTTACTGTTAATCTATGTATTCAATGTTAATATAGCATATTTTCAAGATAATATGAATCAATAGAAGTTCTACTATTTTTCTTCTTTATTCCAGTGGATTATCTTGCATATTTCATTTTGGATATCATTACTCTTTTTTATATAATTGCTGTACTTTTTCACCTTAACGTGTTTTATGTGTTCTGTTTCCTTTGTTCATTTACTAAGAGGCAGTAAAACCACAACCTCTGTAGAACCTTTCTCTATTACCTTTCCTTTACTGTTGCCATTTGTACACCTAGATTGCACTCATGTCTAATCATTTACAACAACCCCTGCATGCTCTGTAGTATCTGTTATTCCATCATCTCTCACTTAGACTAGATGGGAGCAAGAGTTCCCTAGCCAATTTGCCTTGAAACATTCTTTTTTCCTTCCCTTCTGTTCTCCAAGCTGCAACCAGAGTAACTTTCTAAAAATGCAAATCTGACCATGTCACTCATGTTCACCTTAATGTAGCTCTAAAGGTAAAGAATGAACACACAAACCAAGCCCTGCATACATTGGCCCCTTACTACACATCCAGTTTTTTCTCTTTCATTCTCAGACTTCTAATTATGCTAATCTTTCAGGTTCTCCAAACCTTTAAGCTCCCTTTTGCCATTAGGGCTCACATTCCTTCTATCGGAAATTGTCTTTCCTCCTCTCTAGTGAATATTGACCTTCTTGAGGGTCATGTACCTCTGTATTCGAAACTAAAATCCGTTCAGGATATTTCACAAGTCTTCAGAAATAGATGCTTTACATTCTGACCAATGTTGCCTTCACTTTAAACAATGTCTCTGACTCTTTTAATATAAGTATTTTAAATGACACAATGATTATACATATTTATGAGTTACAGTGTGGTATGTATACAATGTGCAATGATTAAATCAGAGTAATAAGCATAGCCATCACTTGAAACCTTTGTTACTTCTTCGCGTTGGTAACATTCAGAATGTTGGAAGAGAGTTCTAGCTATTTGGGAAAAATACAGTAAAATATTGTTTCCTATAGTTACCCTCAAGGGCTAGATGACATCAGCTATAATAGCCACTATTCTACTATTTCTATGAGATCCGCTTTTTAAACCTCCGCATAGGAGTGCGAAGATGTGGTATTTATCTTTCTGTGCTTATTCCACTCAGCGTAATGTTCGTGTTGCTGCAAGTGACAGGATTTCCTTCTTGTGGTTGAACAGCCCTCCATTGTGTGTGTCCGCCATGTGGGCTTCGTTCATCTGTTGGTGGACACAGGTCAGTTGCATGACTTGGTAGCGTAAGTCGTACTGCAGCCAGCATGAGGTGCAAACATCTCTCTGACATACTTGCCTTCATCCTCTGGATGTACATCCAGTGGGAGGATAGGCCAGGTTGGTTTGTTCTTGCTGCTTGATCTCCTTGAGGTGCATCACTTGGCTATTTTGGGGTTTTTTGATATAGACATCTATTGTTAGAGAATGTCCTTCCAGGGCTTTGGTATGTTGTATTTCTATTTTTATTTGCAAGAGATTTTCAAGGGGGAAATGTGGAGATGTTTGTCAAAGGGTTCAAAGTGTCAGTTATGCAGGATAAATATGTTTTGGAGGTCTAATGCCCAGCATGGTGATTATGGTTAATAATACTGTATTGTATACTTGAAATTTGCTAAGAGAATTAATCTTCATTGCTCTTGCCACAAAAAATAATAGCTATTTGGGGTTAATAGATACGTTGATGAGCATTATTGTGGTAATCATTTCATACTGTATATCAAAATATCACATTGTGAACTTAAATATGTACAATTTTTATTTGTTAAGTATAACTGAATAAAACTGGGTGGAAAAAAAAAAGATTTTCAAATTCTTTTTTTTTTTTCCTCTTGATTTATTGGTCATTCAGAAGCATGTTGTGTAATTTCCATGTCTTTGAATAGCTTCCAAAGTTTCTCTAGTTAATTGTTTTTTAGTTTTATTTTGTTGTGGTTAGAAAAGGTTCTTGATATGATTTTGTTATTTAAACATTTGTTGAGACTATGTGGCCTAGCATAGCAGTTCCCAACCTTTTTAGCATCAGGGACTAGTTTCGTGGAAGACAGTTCTTCCATGGACTGGTGGAAGGGTGGTCTTGGGATGATTCAAGCGCAGAGCATTTATTGTGCACTGTATTTCTATAATTACATTGTAATATATAATGAAATAATTATACAACTCACCAAAAATAAAAAGAGGTGTGTATGGAAGTGGTAAATAAGATAATGGGCAGGCCATGCATGGATGAAAATAAGTATTGGATTCTGACTTAAAGCCTGTCACCAGATGTAGCTGTACAATTGAAGTACATCCACTCACTTGTCACTCATTGATAGGGTTTTGATATGAGCCCACAAGCAACTGATTTATTATGGTCTCTGTGCAGTCAAACCTCACTGCTAATGTTCTTCTGTATTTGCAGTCATTCCCAGCACTAGCTTCACCTCCTGGGTTCTACCTCAGATCATCAGGCATTAGATTCTCATAAGGAAGTGCAGTTCACGTGTGCAGTTCACAATAGAGTCTGTGCTCCTATGAGAATCTAGTGCCGCCACTGTTGTGACAGAAAATGGAGCTCAGGTGGTCATGCAAGTGACGGGGAGCGGCTGTAAATACAGATGAAGCTTTGCTCGCTCTCCTGCTGTGTGACCTGGTTCCTAAAAGGCCACGGATTGGTACAGTATAGTGCTGTTTAAATTTGATGTGTCTTTGCTGGTTTTTCTGTTAAGATGAGCGGTCTGTTGCAGTCCCCAGCTATTTTTGTGTTGTGATCTGCCTCTTCCTTTGTATCTAATATTTGCTTTATATATCTGGGTGCTCCAGTGTGGGGTGCATACATATTTAGAACTGTTATATTCTCTTGCTGAATTGATACCATTATTATGTAGTGACCCTTTTTTTGCCTCTTTCTGCAGTTTTTGACTTAAAGTTTATTTTAGCTGATACAAATGTAGCTGCCCCTGCTTATTTTTCCTTTGTGTATCATTTTTCATCCCTTCACTTTCAGTCTGTGTTTTTATAGGTGAAGTGGGTTTCTTCTAGGCAGCATGTAATTCACACACACACACACACACACACACACACACACACACAGGGGAGCGAAATTCATATTCTTGTTAGCCAAAAATTAACACTGCTAACATTTGTTAGGCAATCCCTATGTTCCAGTAATTACTACATTCTGTGAGTCAGAGAATATTAGTGTCACTTTATACATGGGAATATGGAGGCACAGAGAAATTAAGCAACTTTTTTATATAGCTAGTAACTAACAGAGCCAGATTTGAACCCAGACATTCTGACTGGTGTAGTCATTTGTAATGTTTGGGAGTAGATTGGAAGTCAGTATGGTTTAAATCCACTATTATTTTAATATAAAATCAAAATCATGTTCATTATATGTTTAATATATAATCAATTCATGTCAGGATGGTGCTAGAAGTTTTTAATGTCTCAAGATAGCAAGTTTAAATCAGACTTACTTTAGCAGGTTAGTGAAATGGTACATGGCAGAATAGAATGCTGAAGGATGTGTTTGCTCACATACATTGGTTAGTTCAAATATAGTACTCAGCACATGGTAGGAGTGGATTTTGAGTGAGATGTTAACGGGGAGTACCAGCACACGGTAGGAATGGATGTTGAGTGAAATGTTAACGGAAGCTCCTGGCACATGGTAGGATGCTGAATGAAATGTTAATGGGAAGAATGTTAACTGTTATGTGTGGAATCAAGACGTGACATAAGTCTTGAATGGGAAATAAGCATATGAGAAAGACCTGGTTGCGTTTGAGATAAGATGTTTGAATTCAGCAGTTTTTATGGATGTTTGTGCATATTTGTTAGATCTTTAATGTTTAATATTGTGACAATATTAAATAGTGAGATGGCATAATTCAGAGAGTTTAGAGAAGCAACAGAAATGACTATTAGATAATTTAAGGGCTAAAAAAGATGTCTGTGATAAGTTTAAGGGGTGATAATTGTGTTTTAATTGAGGACATAGGGAGATTATGTTATTTCTCACAAGAAGCTCATAGGATAAAAACTTCCTTCCTATATGATATTACTGAAAGTGAAATATTCATCTTTGAGATGTTGAGAAATTGCTTGGCATAGGCATTTTCATCTTGCGTTCTTATTGCAGAGAGTGACCACTTCCATAGAGGGATTATCTGAGCTTGGCCTAAAAGGAGATTTTGGAAGTTATAGCTTTGGAGTACAGCCTCTATGTGATGAGACCACTTACCTTATTTTGAACCCGTCATCCATGTCATTTCAGTTTTCTGTGGGAGACTCTTGCTTTGTTCACTGCCAGTAGGGGCATTTGGGCCATGTAATCATTATTCAAAAAAATGTTCATTTAGAATCTGTTGTGTGACAGACTTACTTGGGATACATCAGTGAATATAACTGATGGAAGTGTCTGCCCTACCGGAGCTTACATTCTATTGGGCAAAGACAGATCATTAATAATAAGCATAATTGGTAAGTTAATGATATATAATGTAAGAAGATGATAAACACAATATAGAAAATAAATCATGGCATGGCAAATGGTGGAATGAGGTAGTAATTCTAAATGATAGCTTTGTTAAATTTGCTGGACAAACATTTTATGTTCTCTATTGTGTACACTTTCTACCTTTAAAATAATTCTCAGGGTATGGGAAATAGTAAGTTGTGAGTTATATGATACACTTTTATTTGTGTAACGCTGAATACATTTTAAAGCAGAAGCTCTTATGCATTTTTACAGTCCTCAGATAGCACTGCGATATAGGGGTGGCATTGTTTCTATTTTGCATATAAAGAAGCAGTCTCAAGGAAGTTGAGTACCTTAATCAAGGTTACTCCGCTTAATCAGTGTTTAAGCCAAGACCAAGCCCAAAGCTCCAGACTTCCAGATTAGGACTTTTTTCCTTATACTATCTTAAGCCATAAGCTCTTTTGATTTTTCATTTTGTCCATAAGGTCAAATACTGGAATCTTCATAAACTTGTGTCAGATGACTGTGATTACACTGTAAAAACACCATGGGTCTGAATTGTCCTTTATCAGTCTTTATTCTGGGAAACTGTGGCTTTTTCTTCTAATCATTTTGCTTTTATTTTGTCTGATAGGACCAAGCAGAACAATTCTTTAGAAGTGGCCATACAAACAACTGGGCTGTTCTGGTAAGTACATTCTGTAAAGGTATACCTTGCTGTTCACACTAGACATGTGTCTGAGAAATTTTGTGTGAATCAGATTTTTGAAAATAAAACTTATTTTCAAATATAACAAAAATTCCTTATTTTGATTTGGCTATATTTTAACTTGACCACTAATAGTATTCAAGTAATATTCTTTGCCTTCAATATATATGTCAAATGTTGATCTGTAGCAAATATAAGAATAAATTAGGAGTGCTACTGTTAAACCATTCCTAAGGTCAGAGGTAGAGTAGCTGAATGTTTGAGGCCTTATAAGCTCATTGAGAATCATTTCATACGAGCATGTAATTATCTACAGTTTGCTAGAAGCAAATAGAGTGATTACAGCTGTTATACATATTTAATAAAAGGTAGAATTGTTTTAGTGCTGAAAACTAGTATTTTTAATCTGTAATATTAATTTATACTCTCTACTTATTTTTATTTTTTCAGTTTTTTCTTTTACAAAAATAATAAATGACCATTGTAGAAAATTCAAATGATACAGAAAAGTTTAAAAGAGGACAGACTAATTTTTTGTTATATGCATTTCACCTCCATTAAAAAAAAAAAAAGGACAGGGAAAATGTCTTTAAGTCTTTAAGTCCTACATTCCAGCATCAGTATTTTGGTGAGTGTCTCTCTAGCCCTCTCCATCCAGCATGAAGATATAGAGATACATGATTTTACATAACTGGAATCATTCCTGTCATTTTGTAGTCCCTTAGCGTAGCTTTGGGATCTTTCCCTGCCAGTGGGTATGGAGATGTATAATCTTTTCCAGCTGGCTTTTTAAAAATTTTTGTTTTGTTTTGTTTTGGAGTCTCACTCTGTCACCCAGACTGGAGTGCAGTGGCTGCTCCTGGTCACCGCAGCCTCGGCCTGCTGGGCTCCGGCGATCCTTCCGCCTCAGCTGTCCAAGTAGCTAGAACTACAGGCGCGCGCTACCACGCCCGGCTCATTTTGATTTATTGTAAAGGTGAGGTCTCTCCAAGTTGCCCAGGCAGGTCTCGAACCCGCGGGCTCAGGCAGTCCACTCACCTCAGCCTCCCAAAGGCGCAGGATTACAGGCTGAGCCACCGAGCCCGGCTTTTTTTTTAATTTTTAATTTTATGATTGTACCATAATCTTCAGTTCATGGGCATTTTGTTTTCAAGTTTTTCATTACAGCAAACAGGGCTGTGTTGACCATCTTTATTTACGTCTTTGTGAACTTGTGAACCTGACTGATTTTCTCTTTAGGGTAAATTCCTAGACATAAGAATACAAGGTTTTATGGAGCATCATAGCCCTTCAGAAAGGCTTTGCCTCTTTTTCTAAATCCAAGTAAACTATGTATTATTAACTTGTCTTTTCTTTTTGACTACTGGACAGCAAAGTAAATTTTGTTTTAATTTGTGTGGTTCTGATTCTTAGTAAGGTTTGCTTATTGGCCTGTTTTTTCTTCTGCTTTCCCCTACTCGCCTTATTGTGAATTATCATCTTTCATTTTTCTGGATTTATAGATTTGTATTTTGAGTTCCCCAAATAGAATACATGTAATCATTTTTATTTTTCTGTGCTTGGAAAATATTTGGATAGTGATTTCACTTGGGAGGTTTCATTTAATGACATTTTTCATGATTAGAAGACAATAATTTTGCCTTCATGAAAAAAAGTGCCTAAGGATTGACTGGAAAAAATGCTGAGGAAATAAAGAATGGGTTCAGAGAAGCAAGAAGGGAAGCTGGTTTTTGTGAAAAAGCGAGAGAGCTGAGAATGTAAGCGTCTCAAAGCCAGGACTACATCTTGGAAAAGGAGGGAAACTGGGGAACACAGGTAGTAAAGAGAGAGTGGGAATGTAAAGGGTGTGGGTGCTGGGAACAACTGTGAGACATTTTGGGTGGAGCGCAGTGGCACACTCACGGCCACCCCAGCATCCACCTGCTGGGCTCCAGTGATCCTTCTGCCTCAGCCTTCCAAGTAGGCAGAACTACAGGTGCACGCTACCACACCCAGTTCATTTTTTATTCATTGTAGAGATGAGGTCTCTCCAAGTTGCCCAGGCTGGTCTTGAACCCTCGGGCTCTGGCAATCCACTTGCCTCGGCCTCCCAAAGTGCTGGAATGACAGGCTGAGCCACTGAGCCTGGCCTGTGATACACTTTTATAAGGCTAGAGGCGGGTTGTCTGAATGTGTGAGGCCTTATTAGTTTATTATAGAGAACCATTTCATACAACATATAATTATCTACATTTTGCTAGAAGCAAATAGAGTGACTGCAGTTGCTATACATATTTGATTTAAATGTAATAGTGTTGTGATTAATTAGAACACTATGACGTGGGTTCATGACTCATTTTCTTGTTCTCTGAGAAAGAATACCTTCTCCATGCTACCCTCACAGGACATTTTCTGAAAGAATTGGACAAAAGCAGCTCAAGATAAGGAGAGAGATTTTCAGAGACTCCTTAATAGTGAGAAAGACTGTCAGGAGCCAGAGTGATCCACCAATTTGAGAGGATCACCTTGTTCTGCAGGAAGCTGTGGCTTTTCTAAGATTGTTTTCTTTATGAGGAATTCTTAGAAGAGGGAATAACTGCCCGTGTACAGATTACCAGGTGCCCAATGTCATCCTTCAGAACCAAGAGCCTGCCGGCTTCACTAACCCATGAAAGCCTTCCTCTACCCAAGACCCTCTCCAGTCTCAGGAACCTGGGCTTCAGATGAAAACACAGAGGGCGAAAAAGGGACGTTACCGAGCATTTCATCACAACTGCAGTTTTATCTATTAAGTTAGAGTAGTGAAACTTGATTAAGTTGTACTTACTTTTTTTTTTGAGTTGGAGTCTCGCTGTTGCCTAGACTGGAGTGCAGTGGCATGCTCCTGGCCACCGCAGCCTCGACCTGCTGGGCTCAATGGATCCTTCCGCCTCAGCCTTCCAAGTAGCTGGAACTACAGTTGTGCGCCACCATGCCTGGCTAATTTTTTTGATTTATTGGAGAGATGAGGTCTTGCCATGTTGCCCAGGCTGGTCTCGAACCCGTGGGCTCAGGCAATCCTCTTGCCTCGGCCTCCTCAAGTGCTGGGATTATAGGGTTGAGCCACCGTGCCTGGCCAATTCTACTTTCTTAAAAGGAAAATTGTGAAATCTGGCCAGATCTTGTCGATGATACTGAAAATGTATTTCCTTCAGAGTTATATTGTTCACTTAAAAAAAAATCTAGGTTTTCCCTCCAGTGTGAACGAACTTGTCCTTAGCCTTGACCAGGTGATCCCTTTGCTCTTGTAAAATGATTGAGGAGACTCTGGCCACTAGAGGGCGATGGAAGAAAAACTGGATTCCATTTTAGTCCAGCGATCTGCTTTGGATAACATTTTTGCCTCTGTTTAATTGTTTAAAAAAATTATAAAGATAATTCATACTCATGGTTAAAAAAGTGCAGTGAGGAAGGGTATACACGAAGTTATTGCATCTCTCTGTGACCCTTCTCTGTATTCTCTAATGACAATCACTCTTGCCAGCTTCTTGTATGTAATTTCAGAAATTTCCCAGGAGAGTTGTCACATTGGTGTTTGTTCCTCCCCACTCTTGGAGACTGATGGGTCACACCACATGCCCTTTCAGACCCTGCTTTTTTATTTTTATTTCTGGTATTTCACTCAGTAAATATGTGATAATTTATACTGAGTTGGTATTTCCTAGACCTTTGGTTTTTCCACCTTAGTTTTCTAGAAAATTGGTGAAAATGAGGGTGGTTCTTAGGTTTATGCTCATTGAATAATATAATAGATACAAAAAAATAGCCTCTTGTGGATGTACTGAAAATATTGACTTTTATTGTGACTAATTCAGATATAAATTGTTTTAAACTATTTTTGTTTCAAATTAGGGAACCTACAGATTTCTTACTACTTATAGGCAGTGATCTGGCTTCTAGCTTTTGGTTTTGATTTTTGCTAATACAGGCCATGTTATAATGAAAGTCTGGAGTACGTATTTTTGCATACTTGTATGAGCTAACGCAGACGATACGCACGTTTTGGAACTTGGCTTTGTGCTGCAGGTTTCTCTCCTGGAAGGATTACCTTCACCCTCCCACCAGTAAGCTCTAGAACTTCCCCACCCCTTTGCCAATACTGAGAGTCGTCAGACGTTTTTGTGCTCATCAGTCTGGCTTGTATTTTTTAAAAGTTGAGTGGTTATCTTTAAGAGTTTCATTGTCTATTTTTAATACTTTTCGTTATGACATGCTTGTTCTTAACTTTTCCTTATTTAAAAAAATTAGATTGTTCATTTTTCTTACTGAGTTATAATGTATGAAAATCAGCTCCTGTAATATTATATCAAGCTTATGGTATTTTTGAGATACGGAGTTTTACAGTTTTATGTAGTCAAAATTTTTAGTCTTTTCCTTATTGCATTCCAGGTAGAAACGTATTTTAATTTAAAAAAAGCCTGTGCAGTTCCGTTCTGTTTGGCAAGGGCAAGAGCGCCTGGCTTGGCATAAGCTTGGCATGTGGTGAGAGGCAGGCGTGTGCCCGGTGGACATGGTACCCACCAGGCCCGGGCTCTGTTGGCCTCCCTGAGTATGGATTCACAGGAGCACTGTCTTTGAAGCATGGAGTTCGATTTCCCTTGCACCTTTGCTGTAATTTTTAGAAATCTTTTTCTAAGTGTGAAGCATGGTTGAAGTGTTTCTAGTTTTTTGTTCAGCTTAGTAGCTTCTTTATAATGCATTCTTTCACGTGTATATAAAATTGTTCTGTGAGTTATGTTGTAGCCTCACAACGAAGAAGAGATCTAGACAGAAATGAATAGTTTTTAAGCCAATGTAGCTAATTTTATTCCTATTCTGTGAAGAGATTGTAGACAGTCTTTTGATTTTTCTAAAGAATTTAATCTTTTAGAAATAGGAATGTTATAGAAACAGAGATTGAGAGTAACAAAGTTGGCTCAGTATTTGATTAAATTCTCCTAAGATTTGTGTTCTCTTAAGCTGAGTGGTCTTTTTAATTTAATACCAGTTCTGAAAGACCCCTCTTTAGAGATTGGTTTTTATTGACAATTCTTAATGTTCTTTGCTGTTTCTAAGCCTGAATTATGACATAGACATCTGCATATCTTAAAGAAAAGTATATAACTCTGTGCTTATTTGATGCATACAAATCATATTTTTGTTTTAATACTTTAGGTATGTACATCCCGATTCTGGTTTAATTACCGACATGTTGCAAATACTCTTTCTGTTTATAGAAGTGTCAAGAGGCTAGGTATTCCTGACAGGTAAGAAACTTTAATTAGTAAAACTTAACTTTGAATTCAGTGAAGATCACCCTTAGATAGTTGTTATTATAATTGTGTTTTTGTGTTGCTTTTGAAAAGATAAAGAAAGTTGATTTGAAGTTATTTTGTTGTTGTTGGAATCTACTACCATGTATAAAGTAAATGTTACTTAAGACCATAGTGGCAGATTATCTAAAAGAACAATCAACTAGTAAGGTAAAAAGATTGTATAAAGTATATTTGCTTAGTACTACTTAGTACTGATTGCCTCCGTCAGGGTTTTTAATTGCAGGTAACAGAGGGCAATTCTGACTGATTCAAGCTGAAAAGCGAGTCGTTGAAAGCATATTGATTAGTGTACTGAACTGATGGGAAGGTTGTAGCCTTACACAGGAAAAAGGAAGACTAGGTAACAGAAAAGGCACAACTAAGAATCCTGACATAGACCCCTCTGATGACAGTAATGTGGCCGCACGTTGCTGAAGTCTAGGCTCGGCCACTGATGGCATAGCTGCTGGCACTGCCTTTGGAAACTCGGTGTTGCTGCTGCTTCCTGTTGCCAAAAGTCTGCCTTTGCTGCCCCAACTTCCTACTGCCTCTAGCTTTCATTGGGGCCTTGGAGGGAATGTCATATTGGAAGAGGCTAGGTTAAGCATCCGTGTTATGCTGGAGGGTAACTGGAAGGATGAGGATATGACCTTGTGAGCTCTACATAGGGAGGTGGGCTCTGCCTTATGTGAAGACGCATAAAGTGGGAACTTTCGTACTTCCAGGGAGGGAGTCAAGGCACTAGCAGACCCCACGCTTTCACCCACATCATGTCTTCTACCTAAGATTTGCTTGTGATAGAATTGTTTGCTGCTTACGAAATAGCTGTAGTGAGAACCTGCAGTTGGTTAGGTTTGGTTTATTTAGTACCTGTGCATCATTGTGGAAGGAGCTTTGTAGTCATATATGAATTTGAAATCTGCCTTTGGTGATGGTTTTGGTTAAGTTCCTTCACCGTACTTAGCCTGTTGTTTACATGTGTGACCTGGAGATTACAATACCTTCTGGGCAGGAGTCAAGTACTTACAGTGAAAACAAATAGGTATATGTGTAAAGGGCTGCAGGACCAGGAAGGAAGCAGCGAGCAAGCCAGGAAACAAAGTTGTATTGCTCTCCATGACTCCATGTAAACAGGTCACTTAAGTCTGATAAACTGATACAAATACGATTTGATTTCCACATTTCATCTAGAAATGAAGGCAACTAGATAACATTATGAAATTAAAAATTCCATCAAATTATGTCTGAGAAGGAGGTGGATTTGTTATATCAACTATGTAGGTATACTTCTTATCTTTTTGTCAGGAGACTTTTCTTAAATGGGGCTATGTGGTTGGCCTTTTGTTTTTTAACTGCTCTTCTCTGTACTTGGTATACTGCTCCAGAGAATCACTAGACATAGCTTGGCAATCGTTTTTACTTTGGTAAATGAATCTTTGCTCTGGGAATCAATCATTAAGGTACATTTGAACACTGTGAGTGAGATTTGGAGGGAGCTTTTAGACATAGAAGATAGCAATAGGTTGTATATTGTCTATTATGTTTAGTGGGTTTGTCCCTAGGTTTCCGAAGGATGTTCTTTAAAAGCTTTTTCTGTTTCAAATGATTGCTTGTCTGTAACTCTGTTTATGAAGTCTTGGTAATTGGGGATTTCAGCAGTTGATAAGTGAAGACATTCGTTACTTAGTGAATACAAACAGAAAAGATTCTGCGCAGCAGGTGTTGGACAAATACATAAATGTGTGACTTGGAAATAGTTTATCAGTTGTGCAAAGCAAACACAAGTTTGCACTTTGAAAGTGAAAATATTTGTTTCCCCTAAATTGTGTTAGTCCAGTGTTAGAAATTGTTAATCTTGTGTTAAAGACATTTTAGTAAATAGGCTGCCCAGGATTTTATAATGTTATTTCATGATATTGACTCAGGAAAAGGGATATTTCGAGGGGAAAGAGAAAAACCACACTGTTGAGACCCTCCTGATCTCTCCAGTGTGATTGTTACCAATTTCACAGCTAAGGTCTATGCAGGAGAGCTGTTTTGCACTTTGTGCCCCTCTTTTTTCTGTTACCTTACCCAGTCCTCAGTGATTTTGTTTTTATTCTTGATTTTAGCTTCCTGAAAGCTTTCACTGTTTTAAGGCAATTTTTTACCCTCAAATAACTGTTTGGACTAATTCCCTGTTTGGCTACCACCAATATGCTTAGTATGATTAAGAAGATGAAGAGACGGCATTAAGCAGGGGTTAGGTTCTAAAGTCAGCATGTGAGGCAAAAATGGAGACAAAATCACTCCAGAAAGTTTCTTAAATAGCACGTAAATTATTCATCAAGTCTACTACAGCCAGTTTCCGCCGGTGCTAGAACCGATTCCTGTTTTCTTTGTCTGAGCACTGGGTACAGTGGCTTACTTATGATGAGGGGCCGTGTTCTACAAAGCCCGTCCAGGTCTTGGACGATGAGAGGCACGAGGCGGGGGGGGGTGAGGGATGTAGCGTCCTAGCTCCCTTCTCATGTTTCCTCTGGGGATGCGCACATTTAGGGTTAGGTTGGGCGAGAGTTGTCTACTTTTTGGGGGGTTAAGTATGTAAGATTAATTCATAGAGCACGTTGTCTGTGTAATTTAAAAAAAACTTGATTTAACTCTACCACAAATCGGTGGATATGAGCTAAGGTAGTGGTCCCCATGATGCACTGTCTGTTTCTGTGTTAAATCCAATCACTTTCACTAATTGTTATTGTTGTTTTTAAAATCATATTGGCCCTACAGCTTTTGACTGGTGTTCTTTATGCTGCTGTGGACTTGGCCTTACCCATAAGAAGGCATTGTCTAAAGTGGAGCATTAATAAGACATCACAGCAATCCTACTGGGCAGTAATTCACTAAGTAACACCGAGAAGGGCATGGCTGTGATGGTTTTCTGAAAATGCTTGTGGCTTTCTCTTCAATTACAACAGTCGAGAGGAGGCCCGTTTCTGCTCTCCCCCCTCCCCCTGCAACACACATTCGCTGTCCACCGTGAGTCAGAGACTGTGTTGGGGATTTCATGAAGAATTGTTCTGTTTATTCCTGGAGGCCCTTATGAGAGGTTGTGTCCCCCTCTCATTTTACGTGTTAAAAATGCTTGCTCAGAGCGGTTAAACGACCCGCTTACGGTCTTTTAAATGTACCATGTATGGAAACAGAACCAGAATCTGAATTCAGGTCTTCTTCCTTTTTGGCCAGAGCAGTTCTATTACGGTGGTCTTCTCCCCAAGAGATTGCAACAGCTAATATTTATGTAGCACTTACAATTAGATGATTTTTAAATATACATGATCCCGCTTTATTCTTATGACAGTCTGTGGAGATTGATGTATTATGTGCATTGATTAAATCTCCACATGCTGAGTGTAGTGATTGGAGAGGTTGTGAAAATGGCTAACCAAATATATGTATAAGAAATGGCTCTTGGATATTCCCATTTTCTTTGTAGCTTTTGCAGCTAGCTGCGTCTTTATTGCTTCACGTTTCCGTACGTCAGCATCCCTGGTAGCTGTGGGACGGGCTTCTGGACCTCAGTGGCGGCTGTTTCCTCTCTGCTCAGGTCCCTTCCCCACTCACCCTACACACAGCGGTTGGAATCATCTTTCTCAGACACTGCTCTCACTTCTCACTCCCACCATCAGGAACCTGTGGTGGTGTTCTGTTGCCTGTCTAGCAAATCCGAAACTTTCTTCCCACCTTCAGGCTTTCACCATCGCTTTGCGGATTCCAACTTACTATGTTCATTTGTCGGTTGGTTGTGACATCTGCTACATAGTATTTGGTCACTCTCATTTCTGTTTTGACCATTTCGCTCACCTAGAATTTAATTAAGTGTTTAAATGATGAGCGTGCATAATTATACCCATCTTTATAGGTTTTCATAAGAATAAAATGAGTTAATGGATCTTAAGAGACTTCTCTAATTGTGAATGCTACATACACATTAACTGTTATGATTTCTGGGGGAGAAGACGGCGGCTGTGATATAAAAGCAATGCTCTGGAACCGAGAGCACCTGAATGTCTGTGATCTCCTTTCCTGCCCATCCACCTTTTCTTTGTTTCACTGTGTAGAACTTCTGAGATTGCTCTGGACATGGAAGTCACTGATGGTGTTTTAAGCCATTACAACTAGTTTATAAAATTTTCTAAATAATTATGTATAATTTAAAACTTAATTCCTTTATTATCTTACTTATTATTTTGGTATATTGATCATCATATATTATTTTATGATTTTTGTCTCATCTTTTATGGATGAGAGGACTTAATAATTTGGAATATATAATCATAGTTATCATGAGAGAATTTTAGTTCATACCTTTGAATGTTTTTCTTCCTGTCTCCTGTCACTTCCCAAGTTTTTTTCCTTAGATTCTCTTTAAAAATCTAAGTAATAGTGTTTGTCTACGGACACTTGTGTATTCTGTCATTTTGTTCACATGTTGACAGCTGATCTGTTGGTTACTCTACATGGTGTTCCTGGTGAAGAAATGTGTAAATCTTGAGTAGGGAAACATTTGGTATAGCTTGGACGCCGAACTGTGCGCTCTGAGGAGAATAATGACACAGTTCAGGGAGAATTTGGGCCACTACCTTCATGACCTTACATGTAGATAATAAGTGGAACCAATTTGCAAGCCTAAGAAGACCATGAAGGTGTTTTATGGAGCATAGGGGAGATTTCTTTATTGATTTAGAAATGGATGGGAAGAAGATTGGCAGTAGCGGGAAACTGGGGGCGAGGGGGAGGTAGGATTGCCAATAGCGAGAATCTGCCTGGGGAAGGTGGGGCACACCTCGTCCACAAGGGTCCCTGCATAATGAACACTTGTGGACCTAATCCTGAATTGTACCCCACATCTTTAAAAAATAAAAAAATTAAAAGTTAAGAAAAAAGACATGAGAAGGATTTGAGATGTTGAAAGT